CAGCGATGTCAATTTTTGAGGCGCCTCAAAAACCCTCCACCTGCGATGGTGTGGGCCTCTAGGGCGAGAGCAGCGACTCACAGCGATGTCATTGTCAATGGTCTTAGGGATGCCTGCCACTGCCACCTTCAGGCCGCGCCGCCTCGTCTCCTGCACCACCACCATCCCAGCACAGCATTGGTGACAGGAGCGGTGGAAGCGGGCAGAGACATGAAAGACTCAGGGAGGGGTATTGCTTGGAGAAGGATGGGACAAGTGGTAGCAGTGGGGTGTCGAGCGCAGGGAAAGGAAAAGGAAAACGAACGGGCGGAGCGACAAGAGATGGACGATGGAGATTAATCGACAACGAGGTGGCTATGAAAGGGAAGTGCACTGTTGCACACATGTGCGAACTTCTGCAGCAGGATTATGAAATTCTGCTGCTTGCACATGTGTGCAACAGTGCCTTTCCCTCCCCGTCTACCCCCATACTGTCCGTCTACCCCCTTACTGTCCGTCTACCCCCATACTGTCCGTCTACCCCCATACTGTCCGTCTACCCCCATACTGTCCGTCTACCCCCATGCTGTCCGTCTACCCCCATACTGTCCGTCTACCCCCATACTGTCCGTCTACCCCCATACTGTCCGTCTACCCCCATACTGTCCGTCTACCCCCATACTGTCCGTCTACCCCCATACTGTCCGTCTACCCCCATACTGTCCGTCTACCAGCCCCCTGCCTGCCAGACACCCCCTGCCAGCCGGCCGCCTGCCCGTCCCCCTGCCTGCTTGCCTGCACTGCCTACCTCATAAATGAGCTCCGCCCCTCGCTGCGTGCCATCGCCTCCGATGATGAACACCTGCCATGCAATACCATGACATGCCATGCCATGCCGTGCCGTGCCATGCCATGCCATGCCAAGCCATGGGTGCACAGGTGGCAGGGGTTTCGTGGATGAGTGCATGAGCATACGAGTGTAGCGTGATTTGTGCTGTCAACACATGTGTTCCCACCTCACCCAGTTGACGCCTCACCTAGATGATGCCTCACCAAGTTAACGCCCCACCTGGTCAACGCCCCACCTGGTTGATACCTCACCCAGTTAACGCCTCACCTGGTTAATTCCTCACCCAGTTAACACCTCACCAGGTTGATGCCTCACCCAGTTAACGCCCCACCTGGTTGATGCCTCACCCAGTTAACGCCTCACCAAGTTAACGCCCCACCTGGTTGATGCCTCACCAAGTTAACACCCCACCTGGTCAACGCCCCACCTGGTTGATGCCTCACCAAGTTAACGCCCCACCTGATCAACGCCTCACCTGCTCAACGCCCCACCTGGTCAACGCCCCACCTGGTCAACGCCCCACCTGGTCAACGCCCCACCTGGTTGATGCCTCTATCCTCAATCGAGTTGACAATCCGGGTGGTATCGTGCCCGCCGCGGGAAGTACCCAGGAAGGTTCCTCCGCGCTTGTGAATGTCGTTGATCACCCACGGGTTGAGCTCCATGAGGTTCCGCGAGTAGAAGCCCCGGTACCCACCCTGTGCGCGCAGTATGACAGAGGGAGGGGGGAGGGTGGAAGGAGGGTTAGTGAATACCGTTGATCACCCACGGGTTGAGCTCCATGAGGTTGCGTGAGTAGAAGCCACGGTAACCGCCCTGTGTGATTGATATGGAGAGGTAGGGGATGGGTTGGAGGGGACAGGGAGCAATCGGTTGGGAGGGGTAGGATGGTGTGTGCGCAGCAACGCAGTCGAGCGCCCCACAGGTTCAGTTCAGCTTGCTCAAATTGCGTGGGTAGAAGCCGCGGTACCCCCCCCCCCCCCCCTGTGCGTGGAGAAGAGATAAGTGAAAGGCGGGGGGAGGGAAGGGGGGGGACGGGAGATTGGTTGGGAGGAATAGAGCTTGTGTGCATGGTTCCGATTCCTCCAGCACCCTGTGGGTTTCGACTTTTGAGGCGCCTCAAAAGTCCTCCAGCACCCCATGGCTTCCGCTCCACTAAAATGCCCCCGCGGGAAGAAAGCCACTGTGGCCTCCCTGTGTGCGTGCAAGTCACATGCATCATCAGGGAGTGGCAGGAGGACGAGGGTGCAAGACAAGGGAGTGAGGGGAGGAAAGGAGATAGATTGGTTGGGCAAGTACGGGAACAGTTCACTAACCCTAAGGAATGTGGCGCAGGCATGTAGACTCGTGTGCACATGCTTCCCATGTGCCTCCTACATGCTTCCATGTGCTTCCCATGTGCCTCCTACATGCTTCCATGTGCTTCCATGTGCTTCCATGTGCTTCCCACTTTCTCCAATGTGCTTCCCACGTGCTTCCCTGATGCTTGTGTGGCCTACCAAGCCACTCACATCGATGCCGAGAATGTGCCGTGCGCCGTACTGGAACCAGAGCCCCCACACTATCTCGCGGATCACAGTGTTGAGTCCCGGGCACAGCCCCCCGCATGTCACTATGGCTGCCCGCACCTCCCGTGGGTGGTACACCACCTGCACATCCACATGCCATGTCGTACCATGCCATGCCACATGTCATCCCATGCCATGCCACATTTCATCCCATGCCATGCCACATTTCATCCCATGCCATGTCACATTTCATCCCATGCCATGCCACATTTCATCCCATGCCATGCCACATTTCATCCCATGCCATGTCACATTTCATCCCATGCCATCCCACATTTCATCCCATGCCATGTCACATTTCATCCCATGCCATGCCACATTTCATCCCATGCCATCCCACATTTCATCCCATGCCATGCCACATTTCATCCCATGCCATGCCACATGCCATCCACACGCCAACCACATGCCATCCATGACTTGACATGCCATGCCATTCGGCAGCATTCAAGTCGTGCGATGCGACAGTGCCACACCATGCCATGCCATGCCAAACACACAGCATAGGATAACACCCTACCCCATGCCATGCCATGCCACAACACCCTACCCCATGCCATCCATGCCATGCCATGCCATGCCATGCCACAGCACCCTACCCCAATGCCATGCCATGCCATGCCATGCCACAGCACCCTACCCCATGCCACCGCTCACACAGAACGCCAGCATTATCAACATCACAGCCAAAACGCGTCAAACACTTTAGGAGTAACGAACGGCAGGGAATGCGGCAACAAAACGAACCACAGGAGCATGCAAGCACGCGTCCAGTACCAACCAGCCGCACCTGCACCTTCACCAGCTGCACCTGCACCTTCACCAGCTGCGCCTTCACCTTCACGAGCTGCACAAAAGCAGGTCTGCTTACCCTCTCCCTGGGTCCTGCTCTGCGAAAGTAGCTGATGCTGTCCAGTTCAGATAGCCGGGCTGATACCTGGGATGGGGGAGGGGTGACACAGCCGGTGAGGGAGAGGGGAGGGGTGACAGCAGGTGACGGGGGGGGAGTGAAAACAGCATGCTCTGCGAAAGTAGCTGATGCTGTCCAGTTCAGGTAGCTGGGCTGATACCTGGGATGGGGGACACAGGGCGGTAAGTAGAGTGACACTTAACTATTGCAGAACTTTTGAGTCGACTCAAAGGACACAGGGGGGTAAGTAGAGTGACACTTAGATATTGCGGAAGGAGCGGAGCAACAAGGATCATCATGGAGAGAGTGGGGTGGGTTACGACACGGAGAAAATGAGAGAAGAGAGGGAGCTGGGCGGCTGTGCGAGGGTGGGAGAGAGGCGGGCACAGGTGCACAGGCGACCTCAGTGGCGAGTCAACAGGGCAAGTTGAGGTGGCAGAGGGGAGCACCCATAGAAGCTACAGCTCAATTAACCCCCTGACGACAGTGAGCAGCAGAGGTGCCTCACCTGCTGGCACACCATGTCGTTGGGCTCACCTGCTGGCACACCATGTCGTTGGGCTCACCTGCTGGCACACCATGTCGTTGGGCTCACCTGCTGGCACACCATGTCGTTGGGCTCACCTGCTGGCACACCATGTCGTTGGGCTCACCTGCTGGCACACCATGTCGTTGGGCTCACCTGCTGGCACACCATGTCGTTGGGCTCACCTGCTGGCACACCATGTCGTTGGGCTCACCTGCTGGCACACCATGTCGTTGGGCTCACCTGCTGGCACACCATGTCGTTGGGCTCACCTGCTGGCACACCATGTCGTTGGGCTCACCTGCTGGCACACCATGTCGTTGGGCTCACCTGCTGGCACACCATGTCGTTGGGCTCACCTGCTGGCACACCATGTCGTTAGGCTCACCTGCTGGCACACCATGTCGTTAGGCTCCACAAAATACTGACTGCATGCAGAACAAGGGTGAGTGCGGTGAGGGGGGGAAGGGAGGCGGGGGGGGGGGGGGGGGTGTTGGGAGGAGGAAGGTGGCGGGAGGGGGGGGGGGTGTTGGTAGGCAAGGTACGGGGGCACATGAGGAAAACGAAGTTGCGGATAAGCATGACCGGGCACACCGGTCATTGATATAGTGGAGTAATGACCGGTGCACGCTTTGATTGCAAAAGCAATGCTTGACTTGAACGCACGTTCAATGCTTGAATGCACTGTTCAATGCTTGAATGCACTGTTCATAAGAACATGGTGTTCCTGTGAACATGGTGGCAATCAATGCCTACACAAATAATCAACCCTTAAGATAAACCAAAGCCCTACATGTGGAATCTTAGCCTAAACTCGAACGAATATCAGCTGCTTGAGCTGCGACACGCAGGCGCAGGAGGGAGCAGAGGGGGTGAAGAAACGCTCATTTCACAATACAGCGAGTTTGAATCCACCCGAAAGGCAGGAGCAGGAGGACAGAGCAGAGCGGGTGACGTGTAGAGCACTCACTCAACGTAGGCGTATGCAGGATTGAGTGCCAGTGGGTTGCTGTACGTCTGCAGTCATACACACATAGAGACCCACGAAAAAAAAAACAATATGTTTGTGATCCAGCAAACTACGAAACAAATTTGTTTGTAAATGCACACTTCCTGTTGAAAATATTAAATTCTGTCCGATGCGTGAAGAGCTAGTGCTCAGCGCACCAACAAACTCGACACTTGGCATGGTAAGGGAATGCCACGTGGCACATCTCCCCTTGACCTACCTGGAGGTCAGGAATCCACTCGGACAGGTGCGGCACGTCGTCCACCTTGGACGAGCACACCAATGAGGGCGTGCCACGTGTCACCCCTCCCCCTTCGGTTCTGTGTCTGTCGTCTCCTCGTCTGTTCTTCCGCGATCGCATCCGCATGGACGTCGTCGTGCGACTTCCGTCGCACGGCAGTCGCTGGCCGAAAAGCGACGTTCGCCGATCGCACAAAGGAAGCCGGCGATCCGCGCGCGACGACGGCGACGATAGCGCACGCGAACTGGAAGGCGAGGAGAAGCGGCGGGAAGTGAGCACCAAAGTGTTACCACCAGGCATGCGAAACGTAGAGAAGGATTGCGGACCAGATCGGGCGATGCTTCGACTGCCACTAACGCTGGGAGCGCATGAAATTACGCTCCCTGCTGGCGTGACTCGCAAGCGACCAATGTCTGCTAATGCACTCATGGTGGGACAGGGAGTTAGCCGCAGAAGAGCAGGGTGAAATGATTCAGCTCAGCGTTTCTAGATCGAACACGGCTCCTCGGGCGAAGCACGGAAGGCGCGGTGCTGAGAAAGCTTGATGAATGGTGTCAAGCTCCTAGCTGCTGCTGTGGTCGGCTCGCGTTCCATACCCAGTAAAAATGGCAATAGTGGGAGTCGGGATTAGTATACGCCGCGATTTGAGATTGAAGTTTTATGCTACACCACATACAACTCCAACTTTTCTTAGAACGTGCCAAGTCAAAAATGACTCCATGTGCCACCAAACTCTTGACCGTGTCGACGCCAACATGCACAAGCTGAGCGTGCCACATGTCCGTTGTCGACTTCCTCGACGAAGAAAGCGTCCGCATCGCAATCGTCTCCTTCGGCGGTGCAGAGGACATGGTTGGTGTACTTCGGACGACCGAGCACATCTCTTGCAGCCTACACAAGCAGCATCTTGTCGTTGTCGTCCTGCAGCTTCACGCCGCTGTCCTTCAGTTGGCCGGCCGACGGCATGTTTGTATGCCCACCCTGGACGGACCGCACGTCGGTGACGTGGATCTGCTTTTCGGCCTCTCCTTGCAGCGTGACGATATTGCGACCTTGGACGACTTGAATTGCCTTCCTGAAGCTGCGCACATGATTGACGGTGCATATTGGCACCAGGTTGATGAAGGCCTCTCGAGTCCCCATCAGGTGATGACAGCAACCGCTATCGATGAGTATTACGGTCAGATTCGCATGCATGGCGGCAACGACCGCCTGGAAGTCCTCGCCAGCTTCCGACACCACAGAAATGGTCGGCTCCACCAATCCGACCATCGAGCATGAGGGCGTTGCGTCGCCGCATATATTGCCACCCGAAGAGTCGGCATCCTTCGCCGATGTGTGTTCGACGTCTGCTTCTCTTTGAGTGGCTGATTGTTACGACGATGACGACCGGCGTCGGCCTTCTCTCGGCCGGCTTCTTGGTCGCTGTCGGACTACCTGCGGTTGGGGCAGTCGTACGAGAGATAACCAGGGTCTTGACATACATAGCATTGGCGCCTGCCATCGCCACCGCGATCCTTGCCAATGGCCGACCTTCGTACGGTCGGTGTCATTCGTCGACTTTTTGCTCGACTTCCCGCCACCGCCTCCGCCTCCGCCCGACTTCCCACGTTGCCCCTTCTGACTTCCTTGCTCCGTCGGCCGGTAGAAGCTCCGTGGGCTGCCGAGACTCCTGCATGAACCCGTCTTGGATGATGAAGCTCGCCAAGGACTCCGTTTTTTTGTGTTCGCACACATCGGGGACATCACTTCGCAAGCTGCCCGCGGCTGCCGACTACAGCACGTGTGCCTGCATCCCGCTCATGCCAACGAAGTTGGCTCTGCCTGGTCCTCGTATCACACCGCGCGTCAATCTCGTGCCTCCGTCGCTGACGAGGTTGCCGCCTTCATCGTTCCCAGGTCAGGGAGAGGCGGACGCACTGTCCACTTTACCATAGGGAGGGGGATGCTCGCGCACCAACTGCGGACGAGTTCATAGGAGCAGAACCTCCAAGTTGGCCTTATCGTACTCCCCATTCCTGGTGTCGTTCCTGCACAGCAGCTTCCTGCACTGGCACAGTATCTTCTACTCTGGCGGATACTACGGGTTGACCACCATGGTGTAACATGGCTGCCGTCCTAACTACGGCTTAGGAAATGCGCAACGTCGACTACTCTGAAGGTCTATCGCGGAACCATCTCCATGCTCACTGCACCATGCAAAGAGTCACCCTAAACGGGAGTAGACTACGTGGGAGGTTACGCATGGCACGAGTGATCGTAGCGTTCTCTAACACTTGTGCGAGTTCATAGTACTAGCGGGAAGAATTGGTAGGAGTTTTACGTAGTAAAAATGACATCTAACATTTACGCAAGGCGGCTTGCCATAGTTGCAACTGCGAGTGACTATATGCGCAGATGTACGCACCTAGTAAGTAGGTGCAGGTTGACGGTTCCGTGTACGTTACGCACTGTCAGACACCTTGTGCATGTGTCAGGTAGAAAACATGTCGACGGTTGCACAAAATGCGCATTGTCGACCGTGTGATGTCGCTACGTAGGTCGACTTCGCCAGAACCACCTGGGGCGAAGTTCATGCACCCCTGCAAAACTTCGCCATTCAATTACTTGGTTGACCAGAAGAGGTTGCTCAGCCGATGTTGGCGCCCGTAGGTCGGCGCCTAGTCAACGATCACCTTGTCGACCACCAAGGCCTTCTACCGACTTCACTTCGTCGGCTTCGTTGTGGTCTGCTTCGCTAAAGTCGGCTATCCAAACAAGCCGACTTGCTCCTTCAGGTCGGCGCCGTCTACGAAGCCTGTTCGGCTACACACATTGCTCGCTGGACAACGAATTCGACTTCGCCCAAGCAAGAGCGGGACCTTTTCTCGTCATTCCCCTCCACCGCTCTCGTGTCTTCCAACATTTTTTGCCTTGAGTGATCAGTATGAACTCATCCTTGTGCCTTGGAACTTCAAGATGGCCATTATATTTTGCCCAAAAAAAATGGCATAACTTGTGTGTAGATAAATATAAGGACCTAATCGCAATTTGCTAGTTAACTACTTTGTCGTGGTAGCTCCCTAAAATGGTGTTACTATAGCAGTGCATTTGTGTATGAATGTTATTGATAGGAGCAAGAATAACATGAGAGAGTAATAAGTGAACAAGTATGTGTCGGACTAGTGGTGGATAGGGTACAAATAGGAGATTGTAGAAAAAATATACTACCCTTTACTAGGTTTCCCACTGCAGCCCAAGATATCATCATAACATCTGCCAAGTAGTTTTGTGGTCATTTTCATAACGCGGTAGAAGTACATCTTGGAGGTGACGACTCTATAATGGCTTGTTTGAGCGTACAGGTACATCATCAAATAGGTGCTTCCTAGGACTATATGTAATTGGTATATTCTCGTAGATCACACAAGCTCGGGAACCCGATGACTTTAGCTGCTTTGCAATCACAAGTGCAATCCTGTTTTTTTTTTTTTTTTTTTTTTTTTTTTTAGGTTGTTTTCTCAGTCCAGCGCGGGGAAAATTTCCTTAGTTGCTATGTGGGCTGAAGATGTCCTTCATCCTAGCAAACGACCTGCTTTCATTCACAACTTCTACACAAAACAAAGCTATCTTCTTAACGAGTTTGACCCAGAATTGAATTGAACATAGTTTGGACTCAAACGCTAAATAGAAGAATATTGAGCAGATCTTAATGCCTGGTGAGGTTGACTTCAAGATTTCCCGGCTTGAGTGCAAGGCTCTTGCTAACTTTTGGGCCTTAGTCAAATCATCATATGAGCAACCCCTAGTTGGTCTTTTTCACATACGACAGTGCAAGGGCAATATGATTTCATAGACGAAAAAGCATTTGCGGTCTGCTACATGGTCCTGGAACTGTCATATTCATTCATTATGGTTAAAGGAGCTACAAAATACAATCATATCCTACTACAAACTAGTTAGAGTCGCTATCACCACAAATAGAGGGATAATCTTCATCATCACTCTACTATCATCAGAGAGAACTATTGCAGCGCCCTTGCCTGTGTTCTGCCTCCTGTGCCAAGGGCCTAGCTCTTCATCAAGCTTTGCCGCTTCTTCCGTGCCGAAGAAGACACTGGCCTCTGCTTCACTGGCAGCAAAAGCAGCTGTAATGGCAGCAGTAGCAAGGCCAGTGTCTTCTTCGAGCGCTTCAGCAGCCTCTGCGACTGCACCATCACCACCTCCTTTGTAGGTCGTCGCTTATTCTTCCCTTCCCACAGATCTGCAAGGGCGCTCCAGTCCGGGTCATACTCCAGCAGGGAGATTGCCATCAGATCGCTCAGCTTTACGTCATTGAGATTTCCCGGCAGCCAACTCTTGATGATGTTATGGCGGCTGAAACCCATCTCGCACCCCGCAGTGCTCAAAGGGAGGACCGAGACTGCGATCCACAGGCGGACGACGTTAGGGTACGCGGTGCACCAGTCTGGAGATGACAGCATCTGCATCAGTCCGTCCTGGAAGCCCAGCTCCTGATGATGGGTTGACATGATCGAGGTGAATCTGCTAAGCTCCTTCTGTGCTTTTGTCCAGTTGATCTTTGGGAGCGAGGTGGAATACATAGGTCATAAAACAGAGTTGTGGGCCTCACCAAGCCAGAACACAAACCAGGTTAATGTGAAACAGGTCAAAGGGGAAACTCGATGAACGACATAAACCATTCAACACAAGACGGGTCCGGTTTAGGCCGGGTAAGGGAAGACGTACCAAGCAGGGTGTCACGGTCGGAAGGCTTAGGCCGAAACATGGTCCGGAGAGACTGCAACAACTCAAGAGACCTACGCTCATGCTTAGTATGCAATTTGGGGTACGATCTCTGCTTGAAGAGCTTGGAGCCGTTGAGCGACTCGAGGTCCTTCATGCGCCCCTCCAATCACGTGACTAGCTCCTTGACATAACCTTTCGCGAGAGGGACACATCGCCGCCAGAGGTCTGCTTCACGATTGGTTGCTCGTGCAGGGGGTAGACGTGTTCGATTGGCGCCCACTCCGTGCCTTTCGCCGCCACCTCCCTCGCTGAGGGCGAATTGTGCTTCGAGAGAAACGAGCTCAGCTCATTGCTCCCATCGCAGAAGTCACCCGTGTCGCCCAGGTACCGGTTGCGGA